CGGGTATGTAGACAAAATGTGTAGGCTAATGATTAAATGTTGAAGAAAAATAAAGCATGCAATAAGAAATTTGGTGTAAAAATACGTAAACAAAAATTTAGGAGGCTTAGTTCATTTTGTTTAACAACTTTGTTTGCTAAAATGGATCACTCACGTGGTGAGTGTTGAATGAATTTTAAAACAAACTTTAACACGTTGATCAGCTGAATGTGAACATAAACAAGAACGATTCTGATGACGACCAGAAGTAGCTTTCCCCCACTTGTGGGTTGTTATCTTTTCGACCGTTGATTGTTTTGCTTTGTGTTGCTTGATCTAGTGGTCAAAGAATGTTGAATTTGTTTTAAAGTGTATTGTTGTAAGGTTTAAGGTGTTTTACCATACCTATTTCTTTTGAAAGTAAAATTTAATTTAAAGATTTGTAATCTTATGTTTTGAGATTTTCTAATTTAAGAAGAGTAAGATTTATTTGAATTTTGTAGTTTAATTAGCCTAAATTTTGGTTTTAGTTAGGATTTTTAGTTTAAAACTCTTCTTGATTAGTTGTTTAGTTTGAGCCTTGTGTGGCTTGATCTCGTTTGAGTACACAACTGGAGACAGTTGGTCTGTTATTAGATGTATTCTTGTACACCCTGGAAGGATGTTGTGGGTGAGCATTCCAGCTTTGGAAGCTTTCTGTCCAGTGGGTGGTGTGGAAGTGTACTGGACCGTTTTCTTCCCCCACTTAAAGCTTTTCATGGGAGGCTTTTTGGTCACTGTATGTTTTGAGTTGCTTAGTTGTCTTGTTAAGACACTTTTTATTAAAGGTGAATGTATTTCTCGGTTGTTTATTCCGATCTTTCATGTACTGGTGGTTGCGTGTTCTCACCAGATTTGTAGTATGGGTATCCAGGAATTGTCATTTGTCGACCATTCATCATTGTAGTGAGAGAGCCAAGAGATGGATTTAGCTCAAGGGTGCTCTCTTACATGTTATAATATCTGGACTAGTTCAAGTACATGATATTATACTTAATTTAAACGGATTCTTTCATTTTTCTGGACTAAGTGATATTGTGCTTAGAAGTACTGTGTCGGAGATGGTCTAATCAGTGACATGAGACATTAATTTTCTTTGACCCATCAAAATGAATGTGGTCATTTATTAACAGAATCAAATTTTAACATCAAAACATTGTACACTTGATTATTCTGATTGATTACAATAACACAGCTTAATTAATGAGCTTTACAATGAGAAATCATACGGCCATGATTTCTCACTTGCAACTGAAAACAACAGACATATCCTTAGGTCTTAAATTAATGTCTGCAGGCTTAGCTTATCTTTTTACTGGCGAGATAGAAGAGATGGAGTAAAGTTTAAGGAGGGAAAGTGGATACTTAGGGTTAACTAAGATAATAAAGAAAAGATGGGGAGTTATCTTGTTTGAAACCAGATAGCACGTTTCCCAATGATTTCGGCTAGATGTACCCGAGCGTCGACTCTTTACCTTGGTGGGGTTTCAGAGAGGTCTTCTCCTGGCGTCCAGCAAGGCTGAGTCTTTTTACCTCCAGGGATTTATCCGCGTCTCATCAACTTGGGATGACGAGGCTGACTGGCCCAGCTTCCAAAATAAACTTCCCCGAAAGATAGGATTAAGTTGAGTGGAATTTCAGCAAACGTGCTGAACTCCTGAGATGTTGAATAGGTCTTTGGCGTAATGACCGGAATCAACACTCCAGACAGGTGTCATCTTTAGAAAATGACCACCGTGGACTTCACCCTTGCAAAGTCGCACTGTCTTCCTTCTCAGCAGAACTCTCTGTTCTCCATGGAACTTCTGTTCTCCTTCGGAACTTCGGTTCATGTCTCCCAGAACTCCTGTTCTCCTGTGCCCCCAGAACTAACTGGAACTAGGAAGTGTCGACTTTTAAAGAGTTCTGTTTCCGGTCCCTTTTGGGAAGTCCTGATTGGTTGAAAGAACCAACAGGGGTGTGGTTTTAGTGACGTCAGAGGGTTACTACAAGTCAGAAAAACAGTGAGATGTTTGGGAACAGACAGAGAAATGTTTTGGAGAAATGACAGACTACAGGTGCCAGTAGCTTCTTATTTCTGTCTGAGAGGTTTAAAAACATGACAGTTCGTTCCAATAACTTCTTTCTGACTGTCTCCGACTTTTGACCGACATCACTACTTCTCATTTCAGACAGAAGATCAAAAATTGCATAATTACTTTGTAACAGACATTAACTTGATTGCTAATTTGAATGAGGATTAAAAAATCATTAATACTGTTTCACAGTTGATTTAAAATGAGTAGTTCACTTCAACATTTAAAATGGTTTGAACTAAACACACTTTTGATTATCAAGACATTTGTAAAAATAGTAATGACAATATAAAAAGAGAGTGTTCTTTCAACTGATTAGTTCAGGATACAAATTAGAAAGTCTCTGGATGAGCTTAATTTGTATTTCTGGATTCAAATCAATGAAATAACAGTTCCTGTCCCATGAAAGTCCTCAGGGTCAGGTTTTGACCGGAGGCTTAGTTCACTACATCATCTTAGATGAAGAAATGCCAGTAGATTGATGTAGAGCTCTTGCAGGTGGGAGCTGGCAACAGATCATGCATTCTTTGACGTAGTGGTTTACATCTTTTTGCATTCTTGGCCAGTAAGAAACATGTCTTAATGCTTTGAGTGTTGTTTTCGCACTATTGTGTTTTGAAGATGGGGTTTCATGGGCATGTGCTATCATCACCCCCCTGTGGTCATGAGGCACCACG